GGAAGAAAGAAAGGAAAAAATACCAGGCAACAATGCCTAGGTCCCATAATTCTAAGATCCCATTATGAAATTCAGAAATCTGTATATCACAGATAATGCAGACAGAAAGAAAATCGGTTTTCTAGAGACAAATCTCCAAACTAACCAGCAAAAGGATTAATTCAAGGCATTATTCAAGTGGTAGAGTTTCAGTCACACAAATAAAGTGATCCACCAAGTCCCCGATTCTGTCCAAGTCCCACTACTATTATTTTATTTTTTAAAATTATGTTATTTTGTTATAAGGAGTTACATTTATATAAGTGAGGTAATGAGAACCTTTCTTGTCAAACACCGTTATACATCCCTCGTTTTCTCCCACTTTCCTTCTCCCAATCCCCCCAACAAGTTGTAAAGTTCGTTTCCAGCATAGTGTCTTATAGCTGTTGCATTGGTTCACCCTTTGTTCTTTGTCTCACCATTTTATTATTCCTCTTCCCTTCCCCAAATCAGATAAACATATATACAAGACACAGGGTACCAAAATCAAAAACAGTGACAACAGGGGATAAACCAAAGGAAAATAAAAACAAAAGAAAAAAGAAATAACTTCACAGAGTATATTAAAAACTCCACTTGTTTCCATATCTTGACATTCATTTCCTTGGGCATCATTTTATATGGTCATAGGTACATAGCTATTGAGCCATTGTGATCCTCTGCCAGGACTATCCTAGACATATACTAATTATTACAAGTAAGGGAACCCATGGAGCCCATGTTTCTTTGGGTCTAGTTTACTTCACTTAATATGATTTTTTTCCAAGTGTTTCTATTTGCTTATGGGCGGGGTGATGTCATTATTCCTGGTGGAAGCCTAGAATTCCATTGTGTGTGTTTATATACGACATTTTCCTATTCATTCATATACTGAGGAGCATCTGGATTGATTTTATATCTTAGCTATGGTAAATAATGCAGGTACTTATCCACTACTATTTTTTAAATTTCATTGAGAAATAAAATCTTGATCTACAAAGTCTTACCAAGGAAATGAGGGTGAGGGGGGAAGGAGGAAGAGAAACTCATTGAATTGTGAAGGGCTTAGGATTGGTAGAATCAACATCTGTGAAAGCACACTTAGAACTAAACAGGGAAAACATCCTGAATGTGCAGCACCATTCCATAAGTTTAATAGAACAAAAAGGGGAAATAAAGAAGTTGCTAGCTCATTCCCTCTCTCTGCTTTGATCACCATAATATGCACTTCTCCACTCTGCCATGCCCTTCTCCCCATGATGAACAAACAAACTGCATCTGTGAGCCAAAATAAATCTTTGCTCCCTGAAATGGTTCGTCTGATATATTGTGAGAGCAAGGAGAGAGCTAACATTTAAAAAAGTGTATCTGGTAGTGGAGTTGCTTACTTAGCTGGCACTCTACCACTTGAGCTACGTGGTCCAGCTTAATATTTTGCTTCCAAGTCGCTAGTGAAAGTAGTAGAGATGGTTTCCAGGAGTCTGTCTGGCCAGTTCATTGGCTAGTTCATAGATGAAGTCTCCATTAGAGATGGAATCTCTGGTGAGGCGGTTTAGAAGCATTTGAAAATGGGTTGGGGGGGGGGCGGGTGGCTGGGAATATGGCTCAGTGGTGGACTGCTTGTAATGCATGCATGAGGCCCTGGATTTGATTCCTGGGCACTGCATAAGCAGAAAAATCTAGAAGTGGTGCTGTGGCTCAAGTGGTAGAGTGCTAGCCTTGACTGAAGAGTTCAAGGACAGCACCCAGGCCCAGAGTTCAGGCCCTACAACCGACAGAAAAAAGAAAAAGAAAATGGGTTAGGGAAGTATTGATAAGCATGTAAGAGAAGCCCTCAGGTGTGTCATAGAATTGGATGGACAATTCTTGGGGAAAGTCAAAGATCAGATTCCAGGAGGATTGTGGATCATACCTGTAATCCTAGTTTCTCAGGAAACTGACATCTGTGATCAGTGGAGGTTCAAAGCCAGCCAACACAGAAAAGACCATGAGAGTCTTATCTCCAATTAACTACCAAAAAGCTGAAAATCGAGCTGTGGCTTAAGTGGTAGAATCTCAGTCTTGAGCAAAAAAAATAAAGTATAGTACCCAGGCCCTGAGTTCAAGCCCCATTACCACATACACACACACACACACACACACACACACACACACACACACAATTAAAAAATAAGGAGGATAGGTTCTGAAACATATTGAAAAAATACAAATATGCACAAAGTATACAAATATATCTCAAAAATAAATGCAATGAAAAGCACTTTAGGAAATTCACTGGTATTCAATATAAATATTTAAACTATTATTTATAAAACATGAAATTTTAAAAATATGCCCTATTTATATCATATTTCCATACTCTGCTAAGCACATTCTTAAATTATCTCGTTTATTATTTTCAGTGTCCTATGAGTTAAACCTATTATTCTTATGTCTTATGGGTAGGAAAACTGAAAACCAAGAAAGACCAAATACATTTTTAGGTGGGTAAAATAAGAGCATCTGGTGAACCTAAAAGCCCATATATTGTGATATGGTCTTTATGATACTTATCTTTACCATTCAATGAATGTGGCTGCCATATTTGTCTCCATGCTTATAAGTTTTTAAATAATTTGTAGTATTCAGGGTGGGATAGGGTACACTGGAAAGGGAACACTCTTCTCAAAAGGAGGAAAATGGTGAAGTAGCTAACAAAAGTTCCATTTGCATGTCATACCAATTGAGTACATATGCAATAGGAATACATGAGCATTTACTACAAACTTGGTTCCTGTGGTTTACACCCATATTTCATCCTTGCTACCTGGGTGGCTAATGTCAGGAGGATCAAAGTTCCAGTGCTACCCAGGAAGAAAAAGCTATGAGGCTCCATCTTCATGCAGGGAAGCTGGACGTGGTGAAGCATGTCTGTGATCTCAGCAACTAGGTGAACTCTGAAGTAAGCAGATCACTCAGGTGTGTGCCAAGACCTTAACCTAAAAATAACCAGCAAAATAAAGGCTGGATTCATATCTTTGCAGTAATGTGTCATTCTAGCAAGTTCAAAGATTTGAGTTTTAACCCTGCTACTGCCAAAATAAGATTTTTAAGTGAGTATATTATAACACATAATACCCTGATTTTTATCAACAACGAAATTGCTATTCTAAGCAATCAGTACAAAAAAAACTATAGTTACATAATACTTTTGTAGAGAAAATTACATAATTTGTCATACTTATTGCATCAAGTACATAAAGGAACAATATCTCTGAATGTGTAAATATCCTTGTGGCTAAATATATAGAAAAAATACCTAGTGGAACATCCCATAAATGTTCAATGCTGGTTACTTTGAATTTAAGAAAAAAGAATGCTGGTCAAGAGAGATAGGAGGCCTCTCTTGTAGGTTTGTAGAGACCACATATTTGTATCTCAGAGCATTACGCTTCTATTAACTTTAAAATCAGTTTTAAAAAAATTATAGTACCCTTCGGATATGTAATGATGCTGGCAGAAACATATAAAATAAGTAGTACACCCTCAAGGAAGTGTCCACTGTACAAAAGTTCACTCTTGGATTTCACCAGACTCCAAGGAATTGAGAATAAATTGCCTCCTGAGTGTCCTCTGAGTCCTCATTAGCAAAGTGCAGATTGGCCAAAGGGAAAACAGGTTGATTATATCCACTGATGGATACACTTTGGCATTTAGCTCCCCATATTGCTTGGCTTTTCAGAAAGTTTGTCATGACATCTTTACATCTCCTGACCTATTCTCTGTTTGCACACCTCCTTGTTCCAATCTACTCTTTCTGGGGTTCAAATAGAGACCAGCGAAGGTAAAACATTTTATTTGTTATCTTTATCTTATATTCAGAGAGTTTTGAAAGGTTTCACCTTCCAGCTTCTTAAGGCTGCAGTTTCTGGAAACTTACTTACCAACACATTAACAACAGTAGGTATTAAAGTACAGATCAGAAGAATATTTCTATTCACATATCTAGATAAATTATATAAATGGCGAAGTTATTTTTACTTCTAGCTGAAGATGTTAGAAACTAAATATATAATTCAGCCTGTAAACATGACAGGGCTTTCTATATTAGAAGTGAGAGTGAAGTAAGTTAAAAAAAATACAGTCTCCTGGGGTTTAATTTAGATATATTTTATATAAAGGTTTATTTAGAATTACATTTCTGATTTAATAGAAGACATATCCATATTTGTCAATGTATTTCATCTCCCACTGTCAAATTTATGCTATGACCCCCAGATTATCACATTAACATATTTTAACTACTGATTACCCATTTTAATATTTTTCAGCCATTGTTCAAATCACCAAACCTTCCATGCTTTGGATGTGCCATTTTAATGACATATGAATGACAAACCTATGTATATTCCTAAAAAAATGAAAACACTGATATTTAGAAAAACAAAAGAGAAAGACACAAAAAACATGATTAGATTCCTATTTTTAAAGAAAACTAATGTTAACATAAACCATATAAGGCTTAGTAATTATGACTAGGTCCTCTCTTGCCACCAGTGAATTTTCTATCTCAATAAATGACTCAGAATTAATACTAAATTGTAGACAATCTTCAAAGCATAATTTAGGAAACTAGGAAATAAGTTCTCAGTACTCTGAGTATGAATATATTGTTGTAAAAATCTGTTATTAGAAAGAATATTACACCTATGTAAAATATGACCACAAAAAGGTATTATTTTAAATCACCCATGAGAAAACTCAACCATACACACAGATCTGTGCATGTACTTCCTTTTCCACACAGGATGTACATATGATTTTTGTTTTCATCAGAAAGAACACAAGTTGTTCTAACAGAGAAAAAAGCCCATATCTTCATTTCATTGACAATACTAACAATATTTTAAAACAATATTTAGAAAGAAAATTTTAAAATAATTTTTAAAATTCCTTTCTATTTTCTTTTCACCAATAGGTTTTGTTGGAAGAAACATGTTAGCATGAGAAACCACACTACGATCACAGAGTTTGTACTCTTGGGCATATCAGATGATCCAAAGCTGCAGGTTGTCATTTTCATTTTTCTATCTATAACTTATATACTAAGTGTCACTGGAAACTTAACCATCATCACGCTCACCCTACTAGACTCACGTCTGAAGACTCCGATGTATTTCTTCCTCCAGAATTTCTCCTTCTTGGAAATTATATTCACCAGTGTCTCCATGCCTAGATTTCTGGGGTCAATCATTACTAAAGTCAAAACCATTTCTTATAACAACTGTTTGGCTCAGTTGTTTTTCTTCCTCTCCATGGGTGTGTCTGAATTTTTTCTTCTGACTGCCATGTCTTATGACCGCTATGTTGCCATCTGCAAGCCTCTGCACTATGCCACCATCATGAGTAAGAAAATCTGCATCTTGCTGGTCTGTGTTTCCTGGCTGGCAGGATTTCTGTTTGTTTTTCCTCTGCTCATGCTGGTCCTTAAGTTAGATTTTTGTGCTTCCAATGTCATCGATCACTTCTCCTGTGACTATTTCCCCATTCTACAACTCTCCTGCTCAGATACCTGGCTTTTAGAGATGCTTGGCTTTTACTTTGCCTTTATTACTCTGCTGTTCACATTGGCCTTGGTGATTCTGTCCTACATAGGCATCATGAGCACCATTTTGAGAATTCCATCAGCCAACCAGAGGAAAAAGGCCTTCTCCACCTGCTCCTCTCACATGATTGTCATCTCCATGTCTTATGGAAGCTGCATCTTCATGTATGTCAAGCCTTCAGCCAAGGACAGGGCCTCGCTGACCAAAGGAGTGGCCATTCTCAACACCTCCATTGCTCCCATGTTGAACCCTTTCATTTACACCTTGCGGAACCAGCAAGTAAAAGAAGCCTTCAAAAGTTTGGTTCATAAAGTAGTGTTTTATAAGCATAAATGAACTTGTGTTAACATGAATGAATGAATGCTAGTTACTGCGAAGACTCAAAAAGTGTTTATAAAACTTTGTCTTTTATCCACCTCACAAATGCCTGCATGGACATTTCACTTCAGATTTTATTTTATTCTCAGTGTATCCCTGTGTTGTCTTTTCTTGAAGCTATTTATTGGCTCTATGCACTCATTGATTAAAATTCCCCAATAGAAAACTTTATAACTCATATAAAGTATGACATCAAGCAATCAAAACAGACTTCTACTGCTATGGATTTTCAGCAATGAATTTATGTGTCTGAGCACCATTATCATGATAACAAATACTTCCAGAAAAACATATCAAAATAATCAATAATATGTTCATATTTACTTCAGTGTAATTAATTACCACATTAAAAATGTCTTGGAAACTCAAGTAGAGACCCAAATAAAGAAGTTGCTAGCTTTATAAATTACTGAAATTTAATAAATTTCACTGACCTTCCATACTTTATTTGAAGATAATGTTAAAATTTCCATAAGTGTACAATAAGAACTAATGTAGATCAAATATGAAAATATTTAGTCATTGAAGAGAATAGTGTCTTTAATAAATCACAAATACTATGGATATCCTGTCCAAACCTTAGAATTGATCACAGCTCAAGAAAAAGAAAATAATTGCTACAGTTATACTGAATGTCATACCATTTATGGAGCAAATTTAGTCATGAAATTTCATTCAGTCCTCAAATATACTCTCAATATTTTAATCAGAGAAATAGGAGCTTGAAAAGTTATCATATATAGTCAAAAATCCATGAAAGAAGAACTGGGGGTATGGCTTAAGGGGTAGAGAAATAGCTGTAAACAAACCAGCCAAGCAAGAGCACAAGGCTCTGAGTTCAAGCTCCAGTAATAGCACAAAAGTAAAATAAGGAACCTCTAAAAAAAATAATTGAATAGCCCATTCATGTGTTCAATCTGACTCTTCGCAGTAAAGCCTATATACTTTTCATGATACTGAACAGGATCCTCTAATCTCCTTCTGAAGAAATTCTGTTATTTGATATAATCATTTTACTTTTACTTCATTTCTTTTTCACTTCCTTGTTAAACTGTAGATGACTACTGAAAGAATTGAAAGTCTGTAGCTTAGAGATTTACAAGAATTTTTACAGTTATTGTTGGGTTACTGTTGAGAAAACTATTGTTGCATGGGCTGTCGCTTGATTTTATTTGTTTTTATACATACTAGTATAAATAATCAGGACTGGACCTTTCTACCATTACTAAAATTAATTAATGTATTTTTATATTTCTTTAAAGAAAGCCACCTAAAATAATTATAGAAAATAATTAAAAAAATGTTTATATTTTGTTAGCTTTATTTGTTATATGAGGATTGAATTAGGATATTTCATTTATCCATACAAAATATCTTGATCAAATTCATTCTCTTCTGACTCTCCCTTAAAACTCTCAAACCTCTTAGTACAGCCATTTCAACAGGTTTCATTGTTCTATTTTTACATATATATTTTATTTGTTTTTTATTATTTTTATTGTAAAGGTGATACACAGTGGGGTTACAATTACATAAGTCAGGTAATAAGTGTATTAAGTGTATTTCTTTTTGAATAGTGTTACCTCTTCCCTCATTTTCTCCCCATTTTTTCCCTCCTGGCTCTCCTCTCCAACAAGTTTTATAGTTCATTTTCAATGTAGTGTCTAGTGAGTATCTCTGCTTCATTTGTTCACCTTTTGTCCAACCATTTCTCACATAGGTATATAAAGTATTATAATAACCCTCCTTGACCTCCATTTGACCAATCCTCCACTGGTATTCCCTTCAAATAGAACCTGCTTTACCATTCTATTATTTATTTTTTAGTGTATGTTAATTGTGCCCAAGAGTTTCACCATGGTATTATACACATGCATATATGAGAATGTATTATACTTAACATTAACCCTCTTTATTTCTCTTTTCCCTTCCCTCCTCTTTATTATTCAAGAATGTCAATGAACTTCCCAATGACTTCTCTATGCAGAAGCAATGTATTTCAATAGCCTTCACCCTCCATCATCCTTTTCCTTTCTTTTTTTTCCTCTTTCTTTTCCTCTCTTGTCTCCCATGTAGTCCTCAAATCATAATCATGTCTGTTACACACACACACACACACACACTTGATTTTTTTTTATATATGAGACCTTTATCTTTTATTCTTCTAAGCCTGGATTACTTCAATTAACAGGATGATCTCTTCACTGTCATCCATTTACCCACAAATGACTTATATTCTTTCTACATTCTATAGTTGTGGGGCATCTGAGCTGCTTCCATAGCTTAGTGTTATATGGGAATTCAGTCATGAGATACAGAGAAGCCACATTTTGAGAGGGCAATTGGAAGTCTTTAATAGAACACTGGCAACTGTGAACCGATACATGTCTCCCCAAAAAAGTTGCAGCTTCGAATACTCTTAAAGCTGTTAGAAAACTGAGCCACAAGGGTAGTAAAGGACGAGCAGAAAAACAATTTCAATAAAGCAGATCAACTATAATGGAGAGCTGAACTGGGACGCCATGGTGACCTGAGGAGAGTCAGGAGACAAGGCATGGCATCAAATGGCAGCTGAAGTGGTCAGGGTCTAAACAGGGTCATGGGCAGGGGCAGGGTCACAGGGCACTTGAGAGTTCAGAGTCTCTCGAGTTCATGGCACAGGTCTGGCAGGTCCAGTAACCTGTTGTCCACATCCCCGCCTCTGCCTCTAGGAATCTAGGCATGCACATCACCTGGAAGTGGGATTTCACCTTCATCCACCAAGACACCAAGATGACCCCAGTTAGACCCAGTTCCCTATTACCCACCAAGATGGCCCCAGTAACACCCAGTATCAATGTTTCATTAGCTGTTGTAAACAGTGCTGATGAACATAGATGTATAGGTGTCCCAGTGCTATCCTGACTTACTTTTCTTCAGATATATACCCACGCATGGTATCACTAGATCATAGGGTAGTTTTATTTTTAGTTTTATGAGGGACTTCTGTACTGTTTTCCACTGCTGCACTAATTTATATTCCTATCAACAGTGTATGAAGGTCCTTACTCCCCCGTATTTCCATTTGCATTTGTTGTTTATGGTCTTGTTCATGGCATGTCTCACTGGAGAAGAAACTTCATTGTTGTTTTGATTTGCATTTCCTTTAAGACCAAAGTTATTGGACATTTCTTCATGTATTTATTGGTCATTTGCATGTCTTCTTTAGAGAGCTGTCTGTTCAGTTTATTTACCATTTCATTAGATAAGTTGTTGATTCTTTGGGAGTTTAAGTTATTATGTAGCATAAGGAAACTCACAGAAAGCTGTTGGGTAACAGGGGCTAGGAGGAAGAGGGAAAGAAAAAGCAATAAAGGGATTTCATCTGATTAAAATATAATGTATGTATATGTGAAAAACTGTAATATACACTAAAAAATGAAAAACCAGAATGTGAAACTGGTTCTGTGATGAGAAAGATACTTGTAAAAATATAATATCATCTATTACTCCTATAAAACTGACCAATAGGAATTAAATTGGTAAACGTATTACTTCGAAAGTAGAGCCGTGGGGCTGGGTAGTTGGCTCAGTGGTAGAGTGCTTGACTCAGATGCATGAGGCCCTGAGTTCAATTCCTCAGCAGTGGCACTGTGCCTCAAGTGGTAAAACACTAGCCTTGAGCTGAAGAGCTGAGGGACAGCACCCAGGCCCAGAGTTCAGGCCCCACGACCAGCAAAAGGAAAGAAAGAAAGAAAGAAAGAAAGAAAGAAAGAAAGAAAGAAAGAAAGAAAGAAAGAAAGAAAGAAAGAAAGAAAGAAAGAAAGAAAGA